TTCCTCATTTATAAAATGGGAGTGTAGGTCTGTGTCTCCCAGGGTCCTTGTGAAGGAAGATCAAATATAGAAGACGTAAAGCGTCTAGTATTCTTCCTCCCCCCACCCCCTCATATCAAAGGACGTTGGGCTCCTGTACCCAAGGCAAAATTAAGCTCCATCTTACCCTACAGGGGTCCCAGAGGCCAGTTGCAACCACCCAGTTCCTCATCTGATAGAAGAAAGCCAGCAGATCTACTCTGATAGGGCCAGAGGGAGTGAGGCAGGGAGAGAGCACAGGACAAAGGGCAGGGAGAGAAGCTTCAAGCCGCAGCCTTGCCACTGACTGGATTCTGGCCCCTCTCTTCCTGGAGGCCTCAGCTGCCTCCAGTTCAGCCCCTACAGTTGAGTGGGCTCTGACCCTACCTCAGACTTGGAGCTCTTCTCTGAAAAGCAGATGGGCTATTTTTCTTGGTTTTTCAGTATGTGTTTCTTCCACACCCTTCTCCAAATGTTTTCCTGTGCTAATTTATTTGGCTAAGAAGGTTTGTGGTGACAGACACCAAACAGGAAATGGCTGTCATAGCTGCTGTCTGCAACTCTGTGTTTTTTTTTGTTTTTTTTGTTTTTTTTAGGCTTTCTCCTGCATAGCTCACCTCTGCATTGCTTGGTGTTGATTTAGGTGCAGGGCTAAGTGGAAGGGGAAAGGGAAAGGGAAACACATTTTTAGAAAGGAGCATTTTCCTTCAAGTTCAAAGTTTACTAAAGGTTAGGGATTATGCACAATGGCAGTATTAGGTGGTTTCTTTCTACCACGGGGCCTTTGCACATGCAGTTCCCACTACCTAGGGTGTTCACTCTTCTCTGCTTTTCTCGTTAATTCTACTTCTTTAGAATTAGCTGAAGCATCATGTCCTCACAAAGCCTTCCTGCCCATACCCCCTTCCCCAGTCTAGGCTGGTTCCTGACTGCTATTCTTATAGAGCCCTCTTTAAGTGCACTCATCCTGGTTTGTAATGAAATGGTCATTAGTGTGATTTTGGGGGTTGATTTCTCCCCACCCTCCTGCAAGTAGACCATAAACTCCATGAAGGCAGGGACCATCTCTGGTTTGGCTTGCCATAGTATCCCCAGTGCTTGACATGGCTCCCGGCACATAGTAAGTGCTCAGTCTATACCTGTTGAGGGCATGGGTGAAATTTCTCACCTCTTGCACAGCGCAGGCAGATCAGGAGTGAGACAGCGTCCATGGGTGCTCATTTGTCTTGTCTGTGCTGTCCTCTCACTTCCCTTGTAGGTTTTTTTCTGCTTTCCCTTCCCCAGGGCCTTGCTCCCACCCTACCAAAGCATCTGAAGAATTGATCCAGGACCAAGATTGCAGCTGGAGGGCCCATAACAAGCCTTTCCCAACTGCTTATCATTTATAGGGGGAAAAGGGACCTCTGAAGACAGAGAGAGCTTTGAGGCCCAAAGAAACAAATCTTTAGTGGTGGAACTTCAGACACCCTCACTGATAGTAGGGAGAAGAGGCAGACGTCCTAGTCTCTCCAGGGAGATGTCTGATGTTAAGCCGACCCTGATCCCGACACAGTGTTAATACTTTTTCCTAGAACTCAAAAATTCCCAAGTCAGTAAAATCTTCTGAGCCCCATGGTGACAGAATATTGTTAACATACTGTGTGTATCTGAACATGTGAACGAATGCATATATGTGTACATGTGCACGTGTGTGTACGCGTGGGTGTGCATGTATGTGCACGTGTGTGCATGTGTATGTTATGGATTAGTTGGAAGGAAAGAGATGAAAATGTGGGTTCTGGTTTGGAAGGCCCAGGGGAAAAAGCTAAGCCGTTCCAGATCCCTGGAGGATCTGGTGTTGAGCTGCTCACTGGACAGTTCTGCTTCCTAGGCCTGGACTGGCCTGCTCACCTATGGGCTTGTCCTTGCTTATCAACATTTCAAAACAGGATCACCTTTGTATTTGAGGTTTCATGCAGCATATGGGGAAGGGCCCATTCCTACGTGCTCCCAGGAGGCATTTGACCTGTTGTCCTAGGCCCAGGGCCAAAGCCTGTTCTGGAATCAGAAGAGTCAAGGCTTGGTTGTAGATTCTAAGCCAAAGGAAGCCCATGCTCAGCCAAGAACAGGTCTGGGAGGGAGAGGACCAGAGTGTGACCCCTCACTTGTCAAGGGTATCTGGCAGGCAGGGTCTGCTGCTGCTGGAAGGAGGCCCTGAGAGCCACGAGGGGAAGGGAGCAGCAGTGTCGTGACAGGAGGGATTCTGAGTGAGAAGATGCCCTGCTCAGAAAAGAGGGAGTGTGGAGCGAGTTCCTGGGATAACTCAGGGAGCTGCAGAGGAGTGTGGGAAACATTCTTACCCATGACTTACCCAGTGAGGGTGGCGGTAGGTGAGCAGACTCAAAGGAAAGGAATCTTAAAAGAACACGGAGTTCAGGATCATTCTGGAAGGCGGGTCAGCAGCACACCTTTCAGATGGAACAAGGTCTGCCATCTGATCCCTTGTCCCACCTTTGCCCCTGACTGGCTCTATTTCCTTGGGCTGATACACAAAAAGCCTCATCTAAAATGAGGCTGCCTCATTTTAGGCATCAGAAACTGGACGCTGGGGCCAAAGGTTTAGGTGACCCTTAGACAAAAGTCTCAGACGACAAGTTTCAGGAAGGGGAAATCAGAGACGTAAATGTACCATGGGGAAAATGAGCTCCCCAAACCATTATAATTAACCATCACAATCTCAAGTGATCCAGGACTGATAGAGAGATTAGCTGTGCCCGGAAGGACATTTGTTTGCAATTGCTTGTGCACAGATAAGAGAAGTTGCATAAGGCCGGCGGCAGGCTAGGGAGCCAGGGAGCACACAGACAAGGAAACTGCCTGGGAAGGGAGGTCGCTCTGATTTGAGGAGGCCCGTTGTGCTAAGATTAGAGCCTGCCCTCAGAGGGGCTGTGGCACTGGTTCGGGGCCACAGCCTCACAGGTCCCAGGGCACGTGGGAAAATGAGATCTCGATCCTTCTCTGATTTTTAAATCTTGATTGAGACGGTGAAGAGATCGCTTCTCCTTGGCGGGTTGCTGCAGGGTGTTTTTCAGGCTGCACCGTTTGTAATTTGCGATTCTTTGTGCGAATTCTGCCTTTTCAATCCTGCCACACCCTGGGGTTTAGGATTCTGTTCGTGTTGTCTTCAGCCCTGTTCTGGAAGGTAAAACTGTTCCCTCCTTGGAAATAAAGAGACAGATGTACTACCATGATCTGAAAGGTTGGATTAGCATTTTCTCCTGATAATTAAGACTTTGCACTACACAATCATTACTTTATTTCTCTTAAGATGAGAAGCACCTGGCTTGTGTTTCTTGGCCCGAGCTCAGACACTGGTTTTCTGAGTCTCTTAGTGGCTGCATGGTCCAGGAGAGACACAGGGAACATGGAGATGGTCTGAGGGGAGGTATGAGGTGTCAGGAAAGAAAACTCTCCTTTCAAAGGGCTGGGTTTACATTGTCCTGCTTTCCCGAACGACTGAATGGGAATTTAAGGCCACTTAAGGGAGGCTGCCTGCTTTCCATATCACCAAGGATGGACTAGGGATCTTGGGCTAAGCTGGACACACCAATGGGTGGTGAGTTTGTGGGAGGGCTGGGGTTTGCTTTCTCCTGAGGCTTTTTTGTTTTTAAAGGCTAGATAATCATTTGCCTGAAAGGGTGTAGGGAAGAGTCTTTCTGAAGGAAGGGGGGTGTCTTTGATCTAATAAGGTTTTTCCGGTCCTGTGGCTGTTCCTTCCAGGTTTCCCTCCGGTCCTCACTGCGGGCCTCTTGAGCTGTTCCACTTTCGATTCCACTCAATTCCACCTTGACAGCTGAACAGTGTGTGAACTGGTGCCTCTGTGCACAGAGGCTGTGAGGCAGGCTAACAATGAGAACCTGATGTGGGCCCCGCCTAGAGTCACCATTTCAGCTATGTCTCATTTGGCCATGGGATGAGGGGACTGTCACGCGAAGCGCACTGTTTGCAGCATAGCACCATAGCCTCAGAGGTCACACTGGGGTTTCCAGAGGCAAGGACATCCTGTTCTGGGATTTAAATAGATAAGTTTGGCATTTAAGGAGTGTGAAGTAATCTTCAAAGAAGGCCACTTAAGGAGGGATGTTTCCGTGAACGCAATGCTGGAGTGAGCCCACTCTAGAGCTTTTAAAGACAAGCTCTGTGGGGCGCCTGGGTGGCTCAGTTGGTGAAGTGTCTGACTTTGGCTCAGGTCATGATCTTATGGTTTGTGAGTTTGAGCCCTGCGTCAGACTCTCTGCTGTCAGTGCAGAGCCTACTTTGGATCCTCTGTCTCCCTCTCTCTGCCCCTACCCTGTTCGTGCACATTCTCAAAAATGAATAAACATTAAAAAAAAATAAAGAGAAGCTGTGTAAGAGCTCTTTGTGGCAGGAATTCAGTACCACATGTGAGGCCTGTGCCATGGGTGGCCTCTCCTCATTCTCAGGGCAGCCCAATGAGCAGGCGTTATCATTGCCAGTCTACAGACGAAGAAACTGAGGCTTCCAGTCATGGCGGCGGAGAGCGGCAGAGCAGGACCTCGTCTGGGCCCTTTGGGGTTAAGTGTCTGCTCTTTTTTGTCATCCCAGCCAGCCCCCAAGGAAAGTTCTGGGTCAGTTCGTCTCCTGCCACTCAAGGCTCAGAGGTTGGCTTCTTTGGGACTTTGATTAGGCAGAAATTTCAGAGACTTTGCTCTTTGTCACTCATCTTCCAGCCAATGGCTGACACTCTCAGAACCAAGGTCAGTGTTGCCATGGTTAACATCTGACTTCCAGGGAAGGAAGGGGCTGATGAGTGGAGCTCCGGGGCCCTGCTTCCCAGGCTAGGCCCTGAGCAAATGTGGAAAAGCAGAAACACAGAAAGTACCTGAAGAGTGCATTGAACCAGCTTCTTCAGGAGCCAAGCAATACAGACAGCTAATCTGGCAGCCCCCCAGCCTCATTCTCAGGGTAGCCAAATTTACTGGGATGAGATTCATGCCAACTGGAAGCCATGACTGCCGCCTTAGCTTCACATCTGTCTCCCCAGCACAGCACCCGTGTCTCACTCTGCTTCAGCCACAACCAGGTTTGTACAACCTGTCTCCTCCATTACCCCATTAGCTGCTGGGAGGTGTGAGTAGTGTCCCCCCACCAGGTTCCCCTGGGAGCTGGTTTGGGCCTGGCACCTGGTAAATTGAGGCTTGGCCTAAACTGAGTAAGGAGTTCATGTTAGAAGCAGCTAAGAGACGCTTCCCGGGCCTTCTTGGCGCAAATGGTAGTTAGAAGATGAAACTAATAGCTCCTTATTTTTAAACTAGCGTGGAATAGGGAGAATACGGCTGAAGTACGACTTAGGGGAACTGCCTTGAGTAGTGACTCTGCTACTTCCTAGTTGGACGACTTTGGGCAAGTTATTTAATCCATTTGAGTTTGAGTTTCTGGCATAAAATATGTGTCCTAATTAATCTGAGGCTTATTAAGAGAATTGCATGAGATCACACAGGTGAAAATACTTGTAAACGGGAGCCACAAGGTGGACAATTTTTGTGCTATTGAAAAAAATACAATGAATAAGTCTGGTTATTGTAGCAGAGTTTTGTCATGTTCTATTTCATCTCTCCTTCTCTTTCTCTTTTGCAGTCACCACCCAAATACCGGCTCTTATGGAGCTCATGTCAGAGTGGGGGAAATAGACAAACGGAAATAGGACGCTGTATTAACACGCATACATAGGTAGCTGGCGATTTGCCCAAAGCCTATGCTTCTCTTTGTACAGTGTAGAATTGTTACCGTCTCAACAGGAGCGAGGATTACATTTTCCTGCCTTCCTTGTATCCAAGAGTGGCCATATGATTACTTCCTGCCCATGGACTGTAGGTAGAAGTGATGCATGTTGCTTCTGAGTGGAGCGTTTAAGGAGTGGGTGGGTGTTCTCCATGTTTCTCTCTTTCCCTCTGTAGTTTGAGAGGGAGGGACTTTGAGGCTGTAAAGGATGACAGGTTCACGAGATGGAAGGAACCTGGGTTCTGGAATCACCGTGTGGAAGGAAGCCATTCGCTGACCAGGAACATCACCCTGGGCTGATACAGGAGTGAGAAATCAACTTCTGTTGTCTTAGTCTGCTGAAATGGTCTCAGTTTCCTTACATGAAACATTAGTATTTTCCAGTTGACCCCCTTACTCCTAGCCACACAAATAATCTTCCTCTGGATCCACCTGCTTTAAACAGAGCAGCGCAGGGGTTATAAATACCCAGAAAGTTGTTTATCACAGCAAGAACTAAAAAAGTGCCTGTTTTCTTTCTTTCTGCCTTTTAAGCACCAACAATATCTGCCACAGTGTAAACACCCCACACATCGTCTTTATTGAATTGAATCAAGGGTGCTAGGAAATACATTAAATTGACTAAAAGAAGGTACACTTTATTTTAAACGTGGAGCTGTGAGGGCAACTAGTATCTTAACCAGTTGCACGAAACAGTTTGTAGGTCCACCGGTGATGCAGAAGGAAAGAGCTGGTTTGTGCCATGTGGTGACATCTAACAGATACCACCAGGTGTTTCTGACTTGTTGCTGGGTGACCGTTGTTTCACATTTAAGGTCACTGGCCACAGACACCTGCATTTTTGCATGTTATTGCTGAGACCGCAAAAGCCCTCTGAGGGGTTAAGCAATTTGCCTAAGGTCACATGATAGGTAAGAGGAGGGAGACGGGTTTCCATCCGGGTCTGTCTGACCCCACAGTCCAGCACTGGCCACCACCACGTTTCACAGCAGAACAAGGAACTCTTGACTTGTGTGAGTGACACGAATGTGACATTGGGATATAAATCATTACTGTGGTGCACTTCTGGGCCCCAGGTTGTGTGGTTGGACTGACGCTGGGCCTTTGTTGAAGGTTCAGGTCAGTTGGGAAGCGGGCTTGAAAAGAAGAAGGAGAAGGAAAGGCAGAAAGAGAAAGAGTGGGGTGAGTGGGGGGGGGAGGAGGTGGGGGAGGTGGAGGGAGACAATTTCTGGCTGTATTAAGAATATTCTAGGGGCGCCTGGGTGGCACAGTCGGTTAAGTGTCCAACTTCGGCCAGGTCACGATCTCGCGGTCCGGGAGTTCGAGCCCCGCGTCGGGCTCTGGGCTGATGGCTCAGAGCCTGGAGCCTGTTTCCGATTCTGTGTCTCCCTCTCTGTCTGCCCCTCCCCCGTTCATGCTCTGTCTCTCTCTGTCCCAAAAATAAATAAACGTTGAAAAAAAAATTTAAAAAAAAAAAAAAAAAAGAATATTCTAATGCCCATTAAGGCATGTTCTTTTTGGGTGTTTCAGATGGATGGTGGTCTCCCTATGATGACAGAACTCCCAAACCTCATCTCCCACTGAAGGAACCTGAAGTATGTAGCTCAGGCTTCAGCCTCCAGCCTCCAGGAAAGATTAGAGAAATGACCCTTTAGACCTGTTTCCTCATCACTTGATGGGGCTTTGGAATGCCGGGCAGACTGGATGGCATTGAGGCTGGTTTGGAGGGCTTAGAGGGGCTTCAGACGCTAGTATACCCAGGATAGTAAAGCCAAGATTTCTTTTTTTTCCCTAGGCTGATGTCCATTAACCTGCTGACCGATCTAGCCTGGGAGTCTGGCTCAACTCATTCCTCTGGAAGAGATGGGTATGAGAAATGCCGCTCAAGGACTGAATACAGGGGCTTTGGGGGTAGAGTTTCAACAGGTGTGTTGAGAAAGTAACTAGAAATAGGAGCTATCCACAATTAGATTTTGATTAAGGAATTAAGTCTTTGTAAATTAATTTCTACCTACCATGTTTGCATTTTTAAATTTTTCTTTCTTTACTGCTAGTGGTAGGCTGATTTATTGGCTCAGGTTCTTCACTCCTCCCAGGTATTCACATGCTTTTTCCCTGTGATTCTGCAGTTCCTTCCACTAGAGATAACTTATTTGTTGTTGTCATGTGACTTGTTTTGGCCAATGGGCTGTTAACAGACATCCAAGCAGGCACTTGACATCTACTTGCATGGTTGGGCTTAATTTTTCATACATTTCCCCCCTGCCATCATGAGAATATGCCAAGTTAGCCCACTGGTCTAAGGAGGATAAGAGATGCATGGAGCAGATCTGGTCCCAGTTTGCAGCTTAGAGCTGCCCAGATGAGCTCAGCCTGTATCAGATTGGCTCCAGCCAATACACAAATGCACGAATGAAATGCATGCTTTTTATTGTGTGCTGTTGACATTCTATGGTTGTTTGTTATGTTACCAACATAACATATGTTATCAACAGCTGATTGATACATTCCTAGAAGTTTCTTTTAATGCACTCTAATGCTTTCTTTGGTGAATTTATAAGTAAAATAATTTGACAAACCTTGGGCAGGATACCTCCTGGATTTAGATGTTCCCAAGTTCAGAAAGCCTTCTCTACATTCTGGCGAGGGCTGGGGCAAGTCTGGAAAGGAAGGAGTTGGGAGACGCTGATCACTCTAGAATAAGAATCTGTTATTACACCTTGAATGAATAGTTCATTGTACATGAAATACTCCTTTTATCTTTAGGTTAAAACTTTAGGGTGTTTAACTCTGATGAGGTAAACAGACTGAGAGGGAGTTTTTGGATGTGCCTGGAATTGGCACAGTCTGAAATACCAGACTGTGGAGACTCTACGTGAATCTCAGGATTGGGAAAAACTCTGTTGCCTTCAAATCCATCCTCCTGCTTTCAGAAAGGACCGTATATATATTTTTAAGTTTATTTATTTATTTTGAGAGAGAAGCACAAATGGGGGAGGGGCAGAGAGAGGGGGAGAGAGAGAGAATCCCAAGCAGGCTCCATCGGTACTGTCAGTGGGGAGCCTGATGTCGGACTCAAACTCACGAACCATGAGATCATGATCTGAGCCGAAGTCAGCTGCTTAACCAGCTGAGCCGTCCAGGCGCCCCAGGAAGGATCATATTTTTAAACATAGTATTTTCTTTTTCTGATTTGGCAGAAATACATCCCATTTTGGAAAATACAAGAAGCAATAATGAAAAAAATGAAAATAATCTATAATCCTACTAGCCAAAGATAACTACAATCAACATTTTGGGATTTTCCCTGTGACTTTTCAAAATGTATTTTATCCTGCTTGTTGTTAGCGCATGACTTTATATCTTGAGGATTTTTTCATGTTGTGACTTTGTAAACATCTGTTTCACGGAAGAAGGGCAAAATGAATATTTTGAAGACTTAGGAAATGATTTCTGAAGTTAATTGCACCAATTTACAGTCTTACCTGATACATGTGAGAGTTTCTTTCCTTTTTTTTTAACTTTAAGTTAAATGAAATTACATTAAATTTTTACTTTCATTCTTTGAGAGTTTCTATTTCACTTTTCCCAATATACTTTGCAGATGCGTTAAACATCTTTGGTGTTAAAACAAAATTTTTTAAAAAAGGTATTTTATCACAATTCTTTGAAGTCTGTGTCGATTCCATGCCTCCTCTGGGGTTGCTCAGTTGGCTGGAAAAACAACCATGCTGGTTGGTTTCACTTAACTCCATAACTAGTGATCTCAAGTGAGCTTTTGTTTTTGCAATCTGCCTCCATTTTCCACTCTCCTAAACTATTTCACACCTTCTCCTCTTTCCTCCAACCTTCGTCTCCCTCCTCACTCTCTGCTGATGATCTCAGTCCGTATTTCATAGAGAACATGAATAGAGCTCCCACATGCTATCCTGGCCATCCTGCTTGTATTGATGCCCATTTACTCTACTCTATCATGATGCCCATGATCTGAGATCAGTCCCTTTTGATGCTCTCTAGATTTAATCCTTTCTTGCCCACCTAAGCACTTCACTCTGGCAAGTCTCTTCTCTTTCTCCTACATTATTATTCCAGTTATCATACAAACATGCTCTAATGTCTCCGATCTTAAAAACAAAACAAACCTCCAAACCTCCATTGACTTCACATCTCCCTCCCACATCTAGCTACTGCCTCTCTTTTGTCCTTTAGAGCAAAGTCTTCAAAAGATTTGTGCCACAGTCTCTGCTTCCTCTCCTCCCCATTCTCTTTTGGCCACACTGAATCAGGTTTCACTCTGCCCAAAGGGCCATTGTCAAGGTCCCCAGTGATCCCATGTTGCCAGTGGTCAATGCATCTTCTCCACCCCTGTAGCATTTGATACAGTCGGTCATTCCTGAAGACTTGCTTCATACTGGCTTCTGAGATACTGCTGATTCCCCTGCCTACTGGGTGCTTTTCTCAGAGTCTTTGCAGTTTCTCTGTATCTCCATATCTTAAGGTTGGAGGCTCCAAGGTTTAGCCCTTGGACCTCCTCTCCTCTTTATTTACTTTCATTGCCTTTTGACCAGTTCAGTCTCATGACTTTATATGGCATCTACATCCTGATGACTCCAAAATTGATATCTCCAGCATGATCTTCTCCCTGAGCCCCTGACTCATGCATCCAACTGCCTGCGTGACTTTGCCAATTGATAATCTAACATCTCAAAATTATCACATCCAAACAATCTCCTGATTCCGTCCTTATCATCAACACGCAGTCTCCCTCAGGCAAACACTCTCCTTCCACGAATTTGCTGAGGCCCAAAACTTTGGAGTCAGCTTTGATTCTTCTCTTTCTTTCATACTTCTGATCCAGTCTGCCAGGGATTCTGTTGACTCTACTTCCAAAGGATGCCACATCCCCCTCTCACTCCCTTCAGCACTTCCAGCCTGGTCTGAGCCACTACTGGTTCTCACCTGGATGACTGCAAAGCCTCCCGGTTAATCTCCGTCATTCGGCCTTTCCCATTCCCCCTTTTCCCCACATCTATCCTCCACACAGTGGCTGACTCATCCTTTTAAAGCTAAATTCAGATCATGTCAGTCCTCCTGGCAGAATCCTCCCATGGCTTGCCGTCCACCCCACACAGAGTAAAGCCAAGGTCCTGGCCTACAGGCCCCGTGCCCACCAGTCCCTGCTGTTCTCTACCTTCATCTCCTCCTGCCGCCCCCCTGCTCGCTGTGCTCCAGCCAAATGGGCCTCCTTGCTGTTCCTCAGGCATGCTCAGCTTAGAGCCTTTATGCTCACTGTTTACATAGTCAGGGTGTTCTTCCCTAGCTAGCTCATTGCTTTAGCCTCCTTTCCTTTTTGCCTCTTTTCCTGGGTGTCCCGGAAGGGGCCACCGTGAAAAGGCCTTTACAGAGAGGAGTAACAGATCAACCAGAGGATAGATGCAGGTGTTCTTGTCAAGGGGACTACAAGAGAGTGCCCCCACTGACTGGGGGTATCTGCTACGAACCCATTCCTGCCCCACGAGAGGAAGATTCAGTTTCCAACACCTTCTCGTCTCAGAGAGAGCCATGTCAGTTTATGACAGTACCTGACAAGGAGGAGGTTTCTTTCCCCCCTAATGCCTCACTTCTCCCCTCCTCCCCACCTCCCACCCACTATCCCAGGAGGGGTCAGAAATGATGGGGAACAAAATGGTGAAGGAGGGGTAAGAGAGGAGTAAACATAAAATGTTATTAAGGTCTTTATCATGTCTTAATATTTTCAAAGAGAATGAACACTTTTACTTTATACTTGTTTCATTGACACTTATTTAATACCTAATTAAAATCATCCATTCAAATTAAAAATATCTATCAAATAAAGATGAAGTGAGATGACATGTTTTGCCGCAGACCTGAGCTGAGTGGTGCAGCCCAACCCACTGCAGACTATTTTCACCTCCTGGACGTCTCTCAGGGCAGCACTGGCTATGGGAAAAAGTCTGGGGGCAGAGCCTGGGAGCCACAGGTAGGACAATGGAGACAAATATCTTCCTGTTTTTCCTTAATGCTCTTCACTTTTTCACGTTTCACAGAAATCTGTTTTCCAACAGTACGTCAGCAGCTGAGTTTTAAAAAAAAATTTTTTTTTTGGTGTTTATTTTTGAGAGAGAGAGACAGAGTGCGAGCAGGGGAGGGGAAGAGAGAGGGGGGGACACAGAATCTGAAGCAGCTCCAGGCTCCAAGCTGTCAGCACAGAGCCCGATGCAGGGCTCGAACTCAGGAAACACAAGATCATGACCTGAGCCGAAGTCAGAAGCTTAACCGACTGAGCCACCCAGGCTCCCCAGCAGCTTAGTTTTTTAACCAGAAACAAGAAACACATCATCTGAGCACTGGAGCTGAAATAAATTTTTCTTTAGCAGCTCAACAAATAGTAAGAAAAGGCTCGCTCTATGCCAGGCCCCATGCTGGAGATAGCAATTAGGATAAGATTACCGTGGCCCCTCTCAGGGGATCAGACAGGGCATCAGGTGATATTGTGTGAACGGGGGCCCGGACAGGAGGTGCAGGAAAGGAATTCCAGCTTGTGCTATCAGGGAAGGCTTCCTGGAGGAAGTGGATATACACAAAGATTTGCAGACAGACACTGTGAGTGGATACAGCCAGGAGAAGGAGAGAAGAAAGAGTGTTCCAGCTGCAGGGGATCAGAAGATATCCCCCTCACTTGTCACATGCAGCTTTAGTATACGGATTATTCTGAGCTGAAGGCACTTCAATAGCGAATGCAGTAAGGGCTCCCTGACTTTCCCCTTTCTACCTAAAAGCGGGCGATAAAATTTCCCCTGAGAGAAATGCCCTCCCTGTACCAGGATGAGAACTTTCTTATCACTGGAGAGTGTAGAGAGTTGATGCTGGAAAGGCTCTGTACAAACCAGCCCACTAAAATAACTTATCTTTTATTGGTTTCCCCCATGTATTTCCCAGTCACTGCCGCACAATTTACTGTCCCCAGCCCGAGGCACCTTGTCTTACCACATTCCCACAATTGGTCAGGCTTTGGGGCCCAATGCCTTCTTTAGGTCTTTATTTTCCTTTTGAGGACTTGCATGTACATGTAAAAATATCAGATAAAACGTGTGCGCTTTTCTCCTACTGATCTGTCTTACGTCAGTTTAATTCCTAGCTCCACCTTAAGAGAGCCGAAGGAAATTATTCCTTCTCTTTTTTTTTCAGTGTTTATTTATTGTTGAGAGAGAGAGTGTGTGTGTGAGTGAGGAAGGGGCAGAGAGGGGGGGTGGCAGAGAATCCAAAGTGAGCTCCGTGCTGACAGCAGTAAGGTCGATGAGGGGCTCAAACCCATGAACCGTGAGTTCAGGACCTGAGCAGAAATCTGATATTCAACTGACAGAGTCACCCAGGCACCCCAAATTATTCCTTCTCTATACAGCTGAGGATGCATCATGAGGGTGGCACTGAGGGCCTGAGAGGCTAATCATCCCTGAGCCTGAGGAGAGTTGATAAACGTTGCAACCTGCCCTCGGCTGTCTTGTGGGGAAATGGGGCATCCGGTGCCTGCACCTGGGCCATTCCCTTTGAGCCCATGCGTGGTGACTGTGGTCATTACGGAGAGGTCCCCAAGGAGCAGGAGTTCTGGAGGACGTGGGACTGGGCCTTCCAGCCGAGTCTACTCACCATGAGCTTTTTACTCTTCTGCCAATGTGGGACGATCCAGGGACTACTTTGTCAAGGGAAATGGCAGGTGTGCTTAAATACTCAGATGCAGTTCGGTTGATCGGCTGTTTTAGTCCTCAGGAACGGGATGGAGACCGTTCTGTGGAGAGGTGATGATAGGGTGTTGGAGCCAGAAGCTCATTCTGGAGCATGGTGCATGGCCCCAGAGGGCACTCCTGGTGGGTGTGTGGCTGGAGGCTCTCAGAGGCTGGGGAAGTCTAAGGACGTCAGGGACCTCTATCAAACGGGGCTGACAGTGAGTGGGGGGGAGTAGACCAGCAGCGTGGGAGTGACGATGGGGTTTGGAGACAGAGAGTTTGGCCCGGGGCTAGCCTTGACTAAATAATTATAACTAATGCTATGAAGCGTTTATATGCTAGAATCCTTCCAAAGTGTTTCACATATATTCACTCAATACACTCCCATGGTTACTTAGGGAAACTGAGGCATGGGAGGGTTAAGTAACTTCCCTAGTATGCAGCTTGTTAGCAGCAGAGCCAGGGTTTGAACTCAAGCTATCTGACAGTACCTGCCTCTCAGTGACACTGGAAGATAATGACGATGACATTAACATGCACGTGGTATGTGGTTTATTCTGGAATTGTTCTGGGTTCTGGAGAGTCAGCACTGAACAGGAGCAACATAGTCCCCCCTCTGTGGGGCTGATAATCTAGTGGAGAGATAGACAAGAGAACCACACAACAAATAGATCAAAAAATAATTTTAGAGAGTGACACATGCTATAGAAAGTTAAGGCAGGGGGCTGTGACAGAGGAGGACAAGAGAGGAGTTCAGGGAACACTCACTGAACGGA